AATCCGTTTTTTTTTTTTTTTTTGGTCTCATCAATCCTAATAATCAGTATAACCTTCTTGTTCTCATAATTTAAGATTTCAATACGGCGGTCGGACATAAGCATACCCGTCGTGGCCGAGCTGAACGCCGTTGGGCATCATGTCGGGCAGTAAATTATACAACGGCAAAGTGGGATCCGGCATCCCAGTTGGCATCTGCCCACCGCCTCTAATTTCCTGTGGTGGGCTTGTAGCGCCGCCGTGTGAGGCGGATCCACTGCCAATTTCATGATCCTCTGGATCTTCAAGAGGCAACCTTTCATAAGTGGCATTAGAAAAAGTAGCAGCAATTACCATAATAGGACCGGCCGCCACAAGCGACCCAACAACGCTCCCGCCGACGACCTGCCCCTGACCGCCCGACAAGTAAACGGTCAGCCCGGTGGATCCGGGTGGGGCTGGACCGGGTAAAAACGCGCCGGTTAAAGAGAGAATCTCAAACCTTCCTTGGAGTGGCATTACCGAACCGGGAGATGTAGGCTGACGTAAAGTGACGTTAGCGACCAAGCCGGTTGCACTGAGAACGCAGACGCCACGCTGGCGCTTCCGAGCGAATTGGGCGATGGAATTCGCCACGTCAGATCCGGCAGCCACCTCTAGAACGTAGCTCCGAAGGGCGTTGGGACTGTCACGTGTGACAAAGATGGGGGGTTTTGGTTTGTTTTTAGATCCAGGTGGACGCCCTCTTGGTCTCCGGTTTCCGGTTTCCACAGCACCTTCTTTCGGTTCATCACGGTTGTTGTCATCGTCGTCGTCCTCTCGGCTTCCGCTTCCTCCGCCGCTGTTTTCATCGCTTTGTTTGAAGATTGGTGAGTTGACCGCCGCCGGGTGATGATGATCCAGCCCCGGCAGCCCTACCTGCGTGGTCCACCAAGGATTCGCCAGACCTAAAATTCAATTAAATTCCTAGAAAACTATTTAAAAAAAAAAAAAAGGTGAAATCTTGAAATGAATTGGATCAATGAAATTGATGCGAGTAGAGGGTTTTGAGGGAAAAAGAGAGAGACCCTTTTGTTAGTTTAGAGAGACAAGAAAAACCCATATTTTAGTTTGGAAGAAAGATGCAAAGGGAAGGGAAGAAAAGAGGAAAACCCTTTGCACCACTTCTTGTTGCAGTAATGGAATGGAGGGAATCAAAGCCCCAATACAGAAGAATAAACCCAGAGATGGGGAAGCACTAAGTAATGGGGTCAAACACTCAACCCTCTATTTTATTTTTTTAACTGTCTGTGGGATTGAATTGGAGGACATATCACAATTATTAAATTATACCCAAAAAAAAAAATGTATTTTTTGTGGAAATTTTGTTGTGTAACAACCAAACAAAATGAATTATTTGATTAATTAAAATAAATAAATATATATATATATATCTATAGGGTGATCGGCTCTGCTTTTAGGGGTTCTTGGAAATTAGGGTTTGGTGGGTTTGGGTGGCGTGCGCGTGGGGAGGGGTAGCCTCAGCCCTTCTGTCTCTCTCTCTCTCTCTCTCTCGAAAGAAGAGAAGTGGGAGTGGTGACAGGACAATGGGATGGGCCTTAACACTAGCCCATTCTGTTCTAATTGGGCTTTTATTTTCCTTTTGTTTCTCTTGTATTCTTCCTATTTTTTCTATTGGACGATGAAAGTCCTAATTTAGGGAATGATCATGGGTTTATAAGTGAGGAATACTAACTCCAATGGTATGAGGCCTTTTGGAAAGCCCAAAACAAAGCCATGAGAGCTTATGCGAGTCGTGTTCGTTAATAATGAAAAGGCTCTTCTAATTCTTCTCGTTAAGGTTACAAGTGACGATCTTCATCTAAATTATCTATATCTTCATTTTTTATTATGCTTTTTTTCTATAGAACGATACCAATAATTATTGTTGTCAAAATCTAGTAGAGAAAAATGTATTTGGCCTTTGGATAAGGACAACAATAAAAATAAAAATAGAGATAATTGATTGGTGGGTAACCTAATTTTCTATTTTTTCATTTATTTATGAAGAGGTAAAATAATTATTCTCAACAGAAAGTATTCCCCTTTCCACACTAAACATCCCATTATATACAATATTCTCAACAATTCTATCCACAATTTTATTTCTTTTTGACTTTTTGAAGTTGGATTAAAATTAAAATTGCACTTTTAATTATATGGATCAAAACATTAATAATGTAATATAAATTTTTAGGAATTTGTGAAAAAAAATTGTTCAAATTATCATATCTTTCATGTGACTAATTAAGATTAAACATGGTAGATTTGAAAAATATAATTAAAATATTTTTTATATTTTCTTTTAGAAAATAACTAAATTTCTATTCGGATATTACGGATATTACTATTGTTGAACTAAAAAAATCATTTAAAAAAATGTTAGTGCATAGAAATGCGTGCCAATTTCTCGTCCTCCTTATTTATTAAGAGCACAACACGAATTGAAGCAGCTTATTGAAGAACCATGTGCACACTTGAGAGGCGTGGCAATCTCTTCATCATCACCCTCACCGGCGACGACGAGCACTGGATCGGCCCACCCTTCATTTCCTCCTTCCTCTCTCTTCTCACCCAAATCAACTCCCAAGCCACTCCCGGTTCCGTTCTGATCACCACCTCCCATGGCCGCTTCTTCTCCAATGGCTTCCACCTTCCCTGGGCTCAATCCGCTGCCTCCAAATCCGCCGCTAGAGACCGCATACTCCACATGGTTCATATCTTCAAGCCTGTCCTCGCCGCCCTTCTCTCTCTCCCCATGCCCACCATCGCCGCTGTCTCCGGCCATGCCGCCGCCGCAGGTTTTGCTCTCGCTCTTAGCCATGATTACGTCCTGATGAGGCGCGATAAAGGCGTGCTCTACATGAGCGAGGTCAGTTAACTAAATCATAATTCATAAACTTTCTTATACAAATAAACGTAATATTTATTTTAATCCAAATATGTTGTAAAAATTCTTCAAATAAACTATATGCAAAATAAGATTTAAAGGTAATATGACCATAAGTTTTTTTTTTTTTTTTTAATAAATAATTTACAATAATTTGAAGTGATAATATCTTGACCCAATTAACATAATTTAATAAGAATTCACGTTTATTAATTCAAATATTAAATAGTAACAAAGTAAATTATCATTCATAAACACATTTATACCAATCAAACAATTAAAAATTGACAATAAAATATCTAATTATTAGACACAAATTTAAAAGTGGGAGGAGTAAAACTTGTAATTTATTATTCATGACAGATTGACTTGGGTTTTACATTGCCCGATTACTTTGCGGCATTGATGAGGTCGAAGATCGGGTCAGCCTCGGTTCGTCGAGACGTGTTGCTGGCAGGGATGAAGGTGAATGGTGAAACAGCAGTGAAGTTGGGAATCACAGATGCAGCACACGACGGCGAGGAGGCACTGATGGAGGCGGCGGTGGCGATGGGGGAGAAGTTGGCAAAGAGGAAGTGGGAAGGAGAAGCTTACGCGGAGATTAGGAAGAGTCTGTATCCTGAAATGTCTCCGTTACTTAATGAACTGAGTGGAAAGCTGTAAAGAGGTGAAGAGGTAATGTAAAGGAAGTATTTGTACTCTGATGTGTCGTACAATTTCATTATCATCCATTATGGATTTTTTAGTCTGACGTTCTCCCAACTGAGCTATGAGTAATCCCCACCTTCTCGATTTGATTATGGGCTTTGGTAACTCCATAAACAATAAATTGCTTCAGCATAATGATAAAGTTTTCTCCATTCCAGAATCTGAGCCCAATCTTCACTAAATTTATATGATGAAATAAAATCATAAAGATCATACTAAAAGAAAGAACTGAGAAGCACAGGGAACTAAACTAACATCATTTATGTACATATTTGCCCAAATGCTGAGAAGTTTGTGCTAGAATTAGCAAATAGCAGAAACAGACCTTTTAGGAGTTCATGTAGCACATCGCTTGTGCTTGAAGATAATAAGAATCCTTGTATTTTCTGCCACTTGCAACAAAAATTCCGCTGTTAATCCAGTCTTCACGATGTATCCAAGCATCCCGCCCAAAATCAAGCACTCCAATAATCTGTCACATTTTTATCATATACTATTATTCTAATGGATTTGAATTTTCAAGAAAAATGTTAAGAACGATAGCTTGTAAACTCTGCTGCAGCTAAAGATTTCTGATAATTTCACTATGTATTATTCTATTATTCAACATACTATATAGAGGAAGGGAAATTGTGTTGAGGATTGTTGGGAGAGGAGTCTCACAATTCGCTAATTAAAGGGAAAAGGCAAAATAAATTAATAATAATAAATGTGAATAGACGTCTTTTAATGGCATTCAACTTACCGCTCCGCCTTTCCATGATGCAAAAGAAGGGTTTGTTCTTGATTGTAACACCTATTTGGAACACATCGTTCAGTCATATAATTAGTTTAAAGTGGACAAGAACTTATAGAGGGCCATTGATAATCTAATATTAATGTGGTACTAAATTCAAATAATTTCCAAATTCGATGATCTAGACGTAAGGAAATGACTTATGTTATATGCAATCTAACCTCAACAGTGTCTATCGCTTCATTTGAAGGAATTGCATGCAAGACTCTGCAAAGGGAAACAAAAAAACATATAGAAGAGCGTTAAAATATCAAGCACAAGTAGATCACTCCCAAAGAGTACTTCAGACACTGAGATGACAAGGATGAAGATATACTGCCATTAACCTATGTTCCTAGAATGAACCTTTCTATGCATTTGTCCACATCCATAAAGTGAAAACCCTATCCAACTGCAATAGTATCAGTGCTCCACAAGTTTGGAATGTTAAACGGTTGCAAAAGGAATTCAGCCAAACATTTTTATGAGATGGTACTTAAATTGAGAGCTTGATGGGCTAAATGGACAATCATTCAACCCTGAATTTATATATTTTATATTACTAAGGTTGATGAATCACTCCCGAGTTCAAAATTATCCAGAAACAAATTTCCATCTGTTGTATGGAACTCAAATGACGTTCTTTGTGCTTATTTGCACAATCAATAAAAAATATAAAGAAAAATTGAAACAACATATGATCTTGAAGCTTAAGACAACAACAAACCTTTCCTCCATTGCAGGAACAAGACCCCTTGTCAGAGCCACCCCACCAACCTAAAGTCCAAAACAATATTATTTCCTCTGTCCATATCAAATATATGGAATTTGCACTTTGTACACTTCAACTGAAATTCAAAACTTCATGAAAAAGAAACTTACTAACTGTATGCTTAAGAACAGTTTCCTCTGGAGGTCAATCCGCCCTGTTCAGTAATCAAGGAGCATAACCATTAAAATCTCACATGCTGGTAGGAAAAAAAAAATGCCCAAGGCTTGCCGTATACCTGTTGAGAGGATGCTGCTGGTGATAGCTTCAGCAAGACCAACGTTCTCTTCTTTCTTTGGTTTAGTTGCATAAACTGGGTAGGTATCCCACATAGGGAAATTAACGTTAACGCCAGGATATACATTATCGGGTAAATCAGGTCTTCTGGAGTACTCTGTATGCCATGTATCTTCCAGCATATCCTCATGGTCATGAAACCTAAAAATATCATCACTAAATTTTCAGAATAATCGCCATACAGCTATGATTTGACATGAAAACTAGTTGAAAATGATTATCAGTTACTGACCATGCACGGGGTGGTGGTGGATACACATCTGGAACCAATAGCATTGGGAAGAACAATCCCATAGGTGGTACCTGGTGGGGGGGGGGGGGGGG